TCAGTAAAATAGAGAGAACAATAGTACCTACCCCAGACGGTTCTTTTGGAGACAGCTAATTCTAATTAACCTAAGTGCTTTATGTTAGCTATGATTCTTCCTCACTTGGTGGGGTGGGTGGGATGAACTCCAGCTCCAGGCAAAGGATGTGATTGGCTTAAGCAAATTAACATAGCCCATCCCTAGTCGTAACAACTGGTTCAGGAGAGAGCTCAGTATTCATTCAGGCCAATGAGGCCCAAGGAGATTTGCTGGGGTTTCTGGAAAGAAAAGCTTCCACTTTTTTCAGAAGGATCATTTCTGTTTGCCTGACTGAACAAACCAGCAGTAAAAAGACATTTGTGAGACAACTGGAGAAATTTGAACTCCAAGTGTTAAATGATACTCAGGAATTATTAATGTTGTTAGGAGTTACGTGTCAACATAAGAAACATCCAAAACTGTAGAGAATTTTTATGAGTTTATTTGAGCCAAACTGACGACAAATGCCAGCAAGCAAAATCTCGACGAATTGAGAAAATGCTCTGGAGAACGGCAGTTTTGCAGCTTATTTTATACATTAGAATCAAAGGAGAATAACATAAAATATTTTGGTGGTAGTTTAAGGGGGCAGGAGAAAGCAAAGCAGGGAAATCTCTAGAATTGTATAAAAGGCAAAATGGAGAGACACATACTTCTTTTACATTGGTGGGTACATGATAGCTAATAATTAACATTTACAGCACATAGAGATGGTATGTAAGGAACAAGATAATAATGAGGAATTCTGTGGTCTTGTGCTCTGGTTGTCTTGTGCTCTGGTGCTGGCGGTTGCGCCTTCAAAGGGTAGGAAAATAAAATTGATATTTCAAAGGTATGTTAACCTAGATGCATGAAAACAATGAACAGAGCTCACTGAGGGTAATGACTGATCTTTGCTAAGGAAGCTATAGGCCTGGGACATGACTACCCACCATGACCTGACCAGCTAGGAATTCATGATCAGACCATCCTGTGTGGTGACTTTTGGTCTCTGAGTTTGTCAGATCTGCTGTGTGGACCCCCTGAACTTGTCAGGTTTGTTACATAGCCCCCTTTCACTCACACATGGTATTGTGGTTTGGCAAAAAACAAATGTTCTTATTTAGATGTGCACCTTAAAGTATGGGTGAATGTGAAAAAAAATTATTAACGTTAATGGGATTGGAGTAATGAGGGATTGGCTAGTAAGAAGTAAAGGGAACTCTAAAAGGATATAAGAATAACAGATATAATACCTAATAGTAGGCTATATAAAAATAACATTTACGTTTCACTCCCCTAGAGCTGTGATACTCTGCCTCTCCACCCACTGCCGAGATGCAGGCCTTGTTAGAGAAGTTGCTGTGGTGCTGAGTCAGTGAAACTTGCTGGACATCCACCCTCTGGGACTTGCTGAAAATGTGCCACTCTAGGGTGCTAGTTCCTGTTACAGGGGAGGTGTCTCACCAGAGACACTTCACTACAGAACCACCCAAGGGTGGTGCCCGGGGAAGCTGCTAATCAGTGTGCATTGAGTAAGCCAGTGCTGCAGAAGGTGAGCATCAGGAAAGCTGGGAGCTTGGCAGAAGCCTATGGAGTGAGCACACAGGAAACAGGAAGTAAAAGTCCTTCTTCCTTCAATGTCTCTCCACCACCGTCTACAGATAAAACTTGATAAAACTTCATATCATGCCAGCTGGCAAAGTACAAAAATATATTTAAAGGCCCCTGGTCCATTTTCACAAAAGAGGCATAAAGAGAGTCTGAGCAGTCCATTGCCTTAACCACTCGGCTACCTTGTCACCCACTGACTCTGGGTGGTGAGTACACAATGTGATATATAGATGATGTATTACAGAATTATGCACCTGAAACCTATGTAACTTTACTAGCCATTAGCACCCCAATAAACTTTAATTAAAAAAAAAAGAGTCTGAGATGTAATACATCAATTACAGGTACAGGCAGTTAAGGAACTAAGTGGATCTAATGTTAGATTGTTGTTCTTGTGGATATTGAGATGACCCATGTGTTGGCAGAAATTGGAGTGGAGTGAAAGGTTATAAATCAATTTATTTTTCAAAGTATGACCTTGGTCCACCTGCATCAGAATCAGGTTGGGTACTTTAATAATACAGATTCCTTTGTCCCACTGTGGATCTCCTGAACTAAGGTATTGGGTAATAGGGCCCCCAAATTGTTTTAACAAGTGCCTCAGTAGATTTAAAAATTTTGAAGTCAATTATGAATATTTCAAACACATAAAAGTAAACAAGTTCCAGTGTACCCAGCAACCAGTTTTAAGAAACATTAACATTTACCTTACTTCCTGCAGATCTTTTTTATTTTTTAATAAAATGTAACCTATTTTGGCTCAAGTTCCACTCTCATTCTTTTCTCCTCCCTCTCTCGCAAGAGGTGATTGTTTTTGTACATCGTTGTTTATAAATCATTGCTTTAGGCCTTTGAGTGTTATTGAACAGAGGTATTACACTATGAAAGAGGTGTTTTTGGAAAATCGACCAAGCTGTGCTCTGCCAGAGTTCATTGGGATGAGAAAATGAAGGTAGGAAAGCCAGTGAAGACACAGGTTCAGTGGCCCAGGATGTATGGTACTAAGGATCTGAAGTAGAGTGAGAGACCTTTGCTCTTTTTACTCATGCTTTTGTGTGAAGACTGCTCTTTGTGCTGCTGTGACCGCGAGTCGTTATATTCCCCACCTTTATTTTCCCAGTTCATCAGCTCCTTTCTATCATCACTGGCTTCCTTACCTAGCCAGAGTTTCATGAATAGTTATTTCGCCCGTATGCTTGCTACAGTCCCAGGATTCCTTGCTTTCTTGACATTTGACCATACCAACCCTGACTTCCTATCTTTCTACGAATAGAATTGCTTCTTCTGCATTGAGGAGGTGGCCTTTCCTTTCTGATTTTACCTTATTACTTAATTTGCTGTAACCAGTGTCCAAAATGAGGCAGATCTTCATCCAGGTGAATTTAGTATGGATTCCTGAAATTACTGAGGCTTTGGTCTTCATCAGAAAATGTAAGTGATATCTCAATAATACTGCCAGATTTATTTGTCTGTAGAGTACAATTTTGATGAGCGATTGTGAAAACTGTGCAAATGACATAAAAATGCATTTAAACAGGCCAGATTTGGGAATTTCATTGATCAGTAAATGGATTTTGTTTTTATTTCCATTACATAGAGCTGGTCATGAGTCAAAAGTCAATTAAAACTTTTGATTGATTATACCTATTTTGCTTCTAAGTATGAATACATCAAGCCAAATATTTGGAGGTCAAATCTTTGTTATAGAACTATTGATAGATGCAACAACATGAATTAATCTCAAAATGATGTTGATTGAAAGAAGCCAGACAAAAAAATGTACCAAACTGTGTGCTTCCATTCATATAAGATCCTAGAAAATGCAAACTAATCTACAGTAACTGAAAACAGATTGGTGGTTGTTTGGGATTTGGGGAGAAGGGAGGGAAGGGGTTAAAAGGTCATATGGACACTTAGGGGGGAGGTGATGAAAAGGTTTATCTGGATTGTGTGTATGAAGTGTGATTGTATTGCAGGTGTATACGTCAAAATTCATTATATCATAAATATTAAATATGTGTAGTTTATTATGTCAATTATATCTCAATAAAAGTATAAAAATCTTTAGCAAGGAAAAAATGTTTGTTTTAAGCCATTAAAACAAATAAAAAAATTTTGTTGTAATCAGGTAATGTCTACACCCAAAAGACCATATGAGTTCATTCATTCGTTCATTCATTCATTCAGCATTTTTGGACATCTACTGTGTACCAGGCACTCTGCTGGAAACAATGTTAAGCAAGACTGATAAGACTCCTACTCTAGAGAGGTTACTTTCTGGTGGAGGAGACAGAGCAACAAGTAATATTAGTAAAGTATGATAAGTATTATGACAGGGCAGGAAGGGGAAGCTTTGAAAACATTCAGCAGGATTATCTAAGCTGATGATTTGGTAGCAGATGCCTAAAGCTGTGTTGAAAAGGATTGTGAAGCTTAGGAGGATCCCATGCATGAGGAGGGGTAGTGATGGTGAGTACCATGCATTTGCCAATATAAGGCTATACTGTTAAAGGTGGTCTTATCAGAAATTTCCTAAGGGTATAACTATTTCAGCTGGCTCTAAAAATGTTTGAAAATAGTGCAGATCTCTTGTTATAGCCAGTTTTTTTTCAGAGCACTATTTTTAATGTAAAATAGTTATTGTTGGGAAACATCAACCTCCCAGACTATAGTATAGATAGAGGACAAATGCCCTTTTGTCCTCAAAGGTTCTGTTTTCAAATGTTTTTTACCCACTTATGTGGCTGTGTCTGAGCCTTTGCTAAGGCTACTGCAGCTGGATTGTGTAGTGGAACCAGGTCCAGAAAAAGAATTGCTAAAGAATGCAAGTAAACAGGATGTCAGATGTTATCCTTAGCCTATTTCCCTAAACATAGCTTTTTGGCTGCAAAGTAAAATGCCATTCTTTTAGCTTCTGCTTATATACAGTGATGGCTGACAGCAGGCATAATCTTCATTTGCTTGGCATGGTGTCACCATGCAACACAACATGTTTTGCAAGGAATGGTCATGACACACCATCTCTGTGAGAGTATGAGGACATCTGGCCATTTCGTGGAAGAATTTTCTCAGCCTACCTTCTTTGAGCCCTGTTGTGCCAGCACAGCTCCCCGCAAGGCTCAGATCTGTCTGACCTAAGAGCCAATTGTCATCTTCCTCCTGTCAGAAGCCAGATTTTCAGTGGGGCTAGACTATTTATTGACAGCGTTTACCTAGACTGGCCCAAGAGTGTCTCATTTCCAAGGTTCCCTGAAGTGCTGGCTCACCTCTGTTTTCCAGAGCATTTGCTTCCTTCTTTCTCCTCCCTCCCCAGCATCCTCCTCACTTCCTTCCCTAAGAGCTTCTTGCACTGTGCTTTTTTTTTTGGTGTGTGTGTTTCTTCTTTTTTTAAAAAAAAACCTAATGAATTTGTTTTGCACGTTTTAAAAAAGAAAAGCAGTATTTTCCAGGAATTTTACATTCATTCTCTTTCCACATCTTTGAGTGTGATCTTTGTGGTTTTGAAATCCCTTAATTTGAGTGAGTTCCACAGTTGTCTAAGAAAAGTTGTTTTAAAGCGTTGCTCTGCAAGCACCAGAAGAGAACTCATAAAAAGGAAGACAACAGCAGATGCAATCGCGGATGTGGCTTAGTCCCTGCAGCTGCCCCAGAGAGCTGTTCGGAGCACACAGTCCTCAGTAATGAATCCAGAAGAGCGAATCGTGACATGGCTTATATCCTTGGGAGTTTTAGATTCCCCAAAAAAGACCATCTGTGATCCGGAGGAGTTTTTGAAGTCCTCGTTGAAAAATGGGGTAGTGCTGTGCAAGCTGATCAACAGACTGAGGCCTGGCTCTGTAGAAAAGGTAAGAAGCATTTGCAGTATCTTTGGGAGGGCTTACCACCAGAGAGCAGCAATAATGTAACCGGAGATTTTTGATTGCCCAGGTCTTGGGACTCCCCTACTTTAATCTCTTCCCAAGAGTTAGACATTCTTTCTTGCTGCTTTTGTAGTGTGAAAAAGTCAGAAAATGAAATGTTATCATTTAGTAATTAGCCACCAAATGTTAGTATAATAACCTGTTACACCACTGGTACCAGGGGACAAGAACACCCATATCGTAAGCTTGCCGTGTCATAGAGATGCATGTTACACCTCCCTGTGTACCAAGGACATGTTTTGAACCTGGGGTACATTTGAGTCTGTGAAATAATGGGATAATTTATGACAGATGTTGATGGTGTTTATTGACAGTTTGACTAAAATTAATGTAGATTTTCTTCTCAAAGGAATAAAATATCAATTGAATGAGAGGATAAATAATTCCAAATGTTACATAAGGTTTGTTAAAAAAAATAGAAACTGAATATGTGTTTCGAATGCAACATGTGTTCAAAGTGAAACTACCTTTATTCTCTTTTAAAAATCCAAAATTTTTAATGTTGGAAACCCATGATTACAAGGATGGATAATTTCTAAACTAAGCACTTTAAGTCAGTTTAAAGGTAGAGTTCTACAATTATTTTCTTAAGGTCATCAGGGAATGTGGCTGTGAGTATAGTTCTTTTGCCTTCTTGAACCAGTTTATTTTTACTGAACAAATTGATTACTTATAATTTGTTAAACTTGAAAAGCAGTGAGAAAATGGTGGTAAAAGGTAGAGAATTGTGATTAAATGTAGAGAACAACAAAGGGAAAAATATACTTTGAATAAATTATCATGAAGAGAATGGAGCAAGGTAGTACGTTAAAAGCAAAGCCAAGCTCAAAAAGCTGTCTGGGTTTCTTTAATTTGCTATCACCACACTCAGGCAAAAAAGCATGAGAAAAAGTTCATAGAGATGGCTTGAGACTAAAGATTTGATGACATTTGAAACAAAAACCAACGGTTTAGATTTTTGCATCACTTCCTTTGGTGGTTATTTCTCTTCCTGGATTGACAGCAATGCTGCTCGCTGCGTTAAGAAGCCTACCTATGTAGTTATTAGTGAATGGTAAATACAGTACACTTGGCAAGGAATGACAGTCTCCAAGTGACATTTGACTATTTTTCTCTAGTACTGCCTGGAGCCCCAAACAGAAGCTGACTGCATCAACAACATCAATGACTTCCTGAAAGGATGTGCAACCCTTCAAGTGGAGGTAAGCCCACCCAGGTTGCCTTCCTTCTTGTCATTGTTTTCTCACTGTGCTAGTGAAGGCAGTGCTGTAGTGTAAGTCCTTGGTTTATTTTCACTGTTAAACAGAGGAAGAATTTTAGGGAAACCATGTTTGAGATTGGTGGTCCACAGTGGTGGCTTGCTAGTTAGGATTTTCTAGATACCAATTTCAGAACAAAATGAAACAAAACAAAACTCAAAATATGATACCTTTCAGATACAGCATCCAAGTCCAGAAAGCAGGCTTTCAGTGACAGAGCTTGTGTGGTGTGCTTCCCTACTAAGGGGAACCTCTGCTGCTACAGAGGGTCACTACATTCCTCCTGAGTTGGGAAGAGAAGAAAGTGCATTGTCACTTTTTCCCATTAACACTTTAGAACAGAGGCCTTGAAAAGCTGAGAGGATCTGCCCCTGAGGTAGAAATTCTACATTAAATTACATTGCATTATTTTATATGATATGGATTCTTACGATACATATAGGGAGTATTACTAAAAGGCAGGAGGTACTTTTGCCTGTCTGCCAAGTAGCTTACCTTCACTGTACCACAGTGTTTTTATCTGTAAAATGGACACAATAATAGGTATCTCATGGGGTTGTTTTAAGGATCAAATGAGATCCTGCATGATAATGTAGAGCTAAGAGCTCCAACTCTGAAAGATCAATGAGATAATGTATGTAGAGTGCTCAGCACAGGACCAGAGACATAAGAAGTGTGGACATGCGTTAGAGGTATTACTTGTGGAGAATTATTAGTAGTGGTTTGAACATGGAGTCTCACACTAGACTGCTTGGGTTCAAATCTCAGTTCTTTCACTAGTAGCTTTGTAACCTGGGGCGTGTTACTTAACAATGCCTCTATGCCTTGGTCTCCCCACCTGTAAAGTAGAAATAATAGCAGTACCTATCTCATATATGGGTGTGAAATTTCAATGAATTCATGTCCATGGAAGAGTGCCTGGTATATAGTTAGTATTCTCCCAGTGTTAGCTATTATTATTAATACTAGTACAAGTAGCTTTGCCCCACATAAACTTTGCTTGCTTCAGAATTTTTCCTAAAGTTAGCCATAGCATCAGACTGTGATTCTCCCAGAATATTTTATTCCTGGTTTCCCTGTTGCCCAATTTTAGCACTGTGTGTGTATACGCATGCATGCACACATGCATCTGGGCACATGTGTGTGCATGGACATGTGTGCATATGGGCGTGTGTGTGTGTATAGCTTTTGAAGTAGTTTAGCCTGAGATGACTCTATATCCCTTATAAAATAATGGCTACTATGGAGTAGATCATGGTATTTTCATTTTTATTTGTCAAATAAAAACATGGTGAGGTTGCCAATGATTTTTGTACCCTGAAGCTGCCAGAAGGTATGCTGCGCGTTTTTGCAGTTGTAAGAATACTAGGTGGTATAGAAACACTTCTTAGGTCTGGCATTGTTGGAGAATGAGTCGTTTCACAAAAGTGGATGTTTCTGATAGCTAATGCTTACTCCTTTCAGCACCAATGCTTAAAATAGTTTTATCCACTTTGGATAGAAATCTTTCTAAAAAGTATATCATACTTTTTATTTCTTAAATGAAAGGCACTGGACATATTTTTTTAATCTCTTTTTGATAATTCAGGCTGGCCTGAACATTGTTTGAATATTGTAATAAGGCAATATTGGCAACATGGTTAAGCATATACTCTCTTTAGTGTGACAGACTTGGGTCAGAGTCTTGGCTTGGTCAGTTACTGACTGTGTGACTCTAGAAAAGTTACTTGGCCTCTCTATGCTCCAGTTTCCTCATGTGTATAATGGAGACATTAATAATATATTTTGCATAGAATTGTTTTAAGGATCAAATGAGAAAATACATCTAAGGCATTTAAGATATCACTGCACATAAGACAAACATTACAGCTGCTTAGTGTTACTGTTTTTACTGGACATTATTGTATATAAAATTAGGCCTGTAAGGGTTATATAGGACCCATAGTTAGGCACTCCTGGAACTCTGAGGGAAGTCTAATACAATCAGTACATAAGGAATGAGACTGAAAACTGAGTTGGGGTGAACCCAGCAGCCAAAAATACTGACCATCCAGCCTCAAGCTCCCACATAGCTAAGAGACAGATCTAAACAAAAATATTTGCAAATTAAAAAAAATAGTTTATTTTTCATTGAATATATTGGACATATAACATTGTGTAAACTTAAAGTGCACAGTGTGTTACTTTGATATATTTATATATTGTAATATGATTGCAGTGGTGGCGATATTGATCACATTACATACTTATGGTATAATATTGTTGTCTCTATTCATTATACTGTGCATTAAATCATATGGCTTACTCACTACTCATTACAAGTTTGTTCCTTTACACCACATCAATTTTTATCCCCCCACCCTTATTCCCTGGTAACCACCATTTTACTCTCTGTTTTCTTCAAATTCAACTTTTTTCAGATTCCACATATAAGTGATATCATACACTACTTGTCTTTCTCTGACTTATTTCACTTAGAATAATGTGCTCAAAGCCCATTCATGTTGTTACAAATGACAAGACACACTCCTTTTTCATGGCTGAATAATTTTCTTATATATATATATATAGATGTATATATAGATGTATATATATATGAATATACACACACACATATCTCAGGGGTGCAAAAAATGTATACACATGACTTGTATTCATCTTTTGTTATTGGTATATATTGAGTATTACAGTTTTAATACAGTTTTTTCGTTTCTTAAAATGCTTATACATTTTTTGGCACCCTCTGTGTGTGTGTGTGTGTGTGTGTGTGTGTGTGTGTGTGTATACACACACATATATATGTCAGATCTTTTTTACTCATTCATCCATTGATAGGCATTTATGTTGTTTCCTTATCTTGTCACTTTAGATAGAGTATCTCTCAGTCTTAAAGTACTTTGCACAGTGCCTAGTATAGAACATGATTAATAAATTTTTGTTGATGCTATAAAACTGTTAATGCACAAAAAAAACCAAGAAGAATGGAGCTTGACTACTACTCAGAGCACACTATTATTTATCTAAAGAAAGAATGACAGATTGAAATGGTCAGTTTGGAAAGGCAGAAAAGTTAAGCCAGAGATGCGGCAGCACACTGACAATTTGAGTATTCACTGTGGGGTATGGTGACCACATTAAAAAGTGACTGCCAGGCCAGCCAAGTGACTCGTTGGTTAAGAGTTGGTTTGGGAGTGTGAGCGCTGAGCAGCTGGGCCGCTGGTTCGGATCCCACATGAGGGCCAGTGACACTGCGCCCTCTACAGCTAAGATGTTGAACAACAGCTCCACCTGGAGCTGGGTTGCCGTGAGTCGCCGGCGATGGCGTAGATTGCAGTGGGGTTGTAGTGGGCTGCCAGAAGCTACCGTGAGTGGCCGGCAGCTAGCGTGAGTGGCCGTCCAGTGGCCGGCGACCAATCTGCCTCACTTGGGAAAGCGCAATGATAATACCAACATGGGCCAGTGAAGCGACATCCTCCACAACTAGACTGAAGAACCAAAGGAGAGCAACTTGTCTGTTCCCCTTCCCCAATTCCCCAGCGCTGTTCCCTTCCCCAATTCCCCAATAAAATCTTTAAAAAAAAGTGACTGCCTTCTGACCCTCTGAGTGGCCAGTTAGCCTCTCCAAGTGACCTCCATCTTTGTGTTCTCATGTGGTTATGTCCTAGGGCCTCTAGAGGATCACACAGCTAGCAACTGGTCAGGTAAATCTGCTGAGACACCTGGGAAACAAAGCACTCCCTGAAGTGCCTCCCTAAGTTTGATAGTATTGTTTGAAACACAATTTTTAAAAACAATTTTGATGAAGTCAAATTCATCTATCTTTTTTCTTTTGTTGCTTGAGTATCTAAGAAACCATTGCTTAATGCAAGGTCATGAAGATTTATTCCTATGTTTTCTTCTAAGAGTGTTATAGTTTTAGCTCTTACATTTAGGTCTTTGATATATTTTGAGTTAAGTTTTGTATGTGGTGTGAAGTAGGGGTCCAAATTTATTCTTTTACATGTGAATATCCAGTTGTCTCAATACCATTTGACGAAAAGACTATTCTTTCCCTCACTGAATCAATTAATGTAGCTTTGAAGTAAGTTTTCAAATCAGAAAGCATGAGTCCTCCAACTTTGTTTTTCATTTTCAAAATCATTTTGGCTATTCTGGATCCTTTATGTGCTCATAAGGATTTTAGAATCAGCCTGTCTATTTGTTCCAAAAAGCCAGCTGGAATTTTTGTAGGGATTGTGTTCAATCTGTATATTGCTTTGAGGAGTATTGCCATATTAACAATATTAAGTCTTTTGATCAATAAACACAGGATATATTTTCATTTATTTAGATCTTTTAAAATTTCATTCAACAATGTTTTGTAGCTTTCAGTGTACATGCCTTGTACCTCCTTGGTGATATTTAATATCTTATGTGATATAATAAAATACCTTGGTGGCATTGTAATCAATTCCTTTTGATGGCATTGTAAATGGAATTGTTTGCTTAATTTTATATTTGGATGTTTCATTGCAAGTGTATAAAAATACAATTGATTTTTGTATATTGATTGTATCCTTAAACTTTGCTGACCTTGTTTATTAATTCTAATAGTTTTTTAGATTCCTTGTGGTTCTCTTGTGTAAGATCATGTCATCTGTGCATAGATATTTTTCTACTTTTTCCTTTCCAATCTGGATGCCTTTTTTTCATTTTCTTCCTAATTTAATTTCTTGTCCGACTAGAACCTTCAATACCATGTTGAATAGAAATGGTGAGAGCGGACATCCTAGCCTTGCTCTTGATTTTAGGGGAAGCTTTCAGTCTTTCACCGTTAAGTATATTAGCTGTGGGTTTTTCATAGATGTCTTTTATCAAGTTGAAGAAGTTCCCTTCTATTCCAAGTTTTTTGAATATTTTTATCATGAAAGTGTGCTGGATTTTGTCAAAGGCTTTTGCTTCTG